TTTATTTACTTACTTACTTACTTACTTACTTACTTACTTACTTACTTACTTACTTACTTACTTACTTACTTACTTACTTACTTACTTACTTACTTACTTACTTAACTTATATGCTGCCCACACTACCCGAAGGTCTCTGAGCGGCTTACAACATTTAAAATACAATAAAAGGGCAAAATAATTAAAATGCAATTTAAAATATACATCACACCTTCAAGATTAACTGTTATGTTTTAACGTGAGTTTTTGTGGACAAATCTGAAGGAGCGGATTTGTCCATGAAAGCTCACATTAAAATATAGCAGTTAGTCTTTAAGGTGCCGTAGCATGTTTGCCTTTTTTATCTTTGTTTTTGTCTAAAAATCCCATATTTTCTTTTTTTAGATTTTTTTGCCGCCCACACTACCCAAAGGTCTCTGGGCGGTTTACAACATTCAGAATACAATATGCTTTTGTACAGATTATTTAGGCAAAATTTTCTGTCTCATTACATGCACCAGTCTAGTACATACTCAATCAAGAAGGGGCACCATCAGGGAACTCTGCATTTCTCAGTCTAGAATTGTGTGTTCAGAGAGACACACCTTTCCTTATGGTTTTTCAACATTACTGTATTTTCTTTCCTTCCTTCCTTTAGTATTCACAATAATTGTGCCCCCTACCTTTCCACTCCTTCACCTGCCATGTTAATGGATAAACCCACTATTTCTGTTGTTTGATTTTTCCTTTATGGCATTGTTTTGCTTTACTTGACCTCTGTTTTCCCTAACAGCATGTTCCATCTTCCCTAGGCTTCCCAAGGGAGAAAGCAAAGCAGTAGCAATATCTTTAGCTATTCAGACATCTTCTGACCTTCACCCTTTCTCAATCTGATCTGGTTTTGCAGTTTCTAGGAACCACAGCATCTCAGCATGGATAGCTGTCTTTCATTGTTGTTAAGTGCCTAAACAATCTTACCCTGGCAGTATCCAGGGGAGACGTTGAGAATAATGCACATGCTTATTAAAAAGTAGGAGACCTTACATTTCAGGTGAAATAATAAAGCTGTTTAAAATGAGAGAGTCCAGAATATTGGTCAATATTTCCATTATTGCTGTGTATCTTGAGTTTTTCCCATATGTGTTTCAATGGCAAAAAATCCTTGCATATTAGTCACAGAACTAGCATGTGGTTGGGCGCTTCGAGGTATGTTATCTTTTCACCTGGAGCTTGGAAAAGCCGGGGGGGGGGGTTGAAGGGACTACAAATAGTCCATACAGAACATTCAGAGTTTCTTTGTATTAATATCAGGCTGTTATACTTTGAGAAGGAAACCTTTTTCGCTCCCCACTCTACCCCACCCTCATGTCCTTGTGAACGTTGTTGTGGTTTATTCATTAAGTCATGACTGACTCTTTGTGACCCCATGGACCAGAGCACCCCAGGCCGTCCTGTCCTCCACTGCCTCCTGGAGTTGGGTCAAATTCATGTTGGTCGCTTCAATGACACCGTCCAACCATCTCGTCCTCTGTCATCCCCTTCTCCTCTTGCCTCCACATTCTCCCAACATCAGGGTCTCAACATCAACATCGTGAATGTTGCTTCTGTCCAAAGAATGGCTAGGAGTAACAGATCCTTTTGTGCCCATCTTGTCTTTTCCCAGGTTCTGATGCTGAGCAGGATTCCGCAGCCAAACTCGCTCAAGAACGAGCCGACATAGTTGCCAAGTATGACAAAGTAAGTGTCCATACTACACAAGCCTACTTGCCATGCGCTGTTCTGTTTGAGTAGCAATTGCCCGCCTCCCCCAACCAAAGGAGCACAGGATTGGCAGAGGCGTGTGTTTGTTCTGTGCCTCTTGCCACCACCAGCATCTTTGGCACTATGTTTAAGTGTTTTCCTCTTTGGCTTTTGCACAGACTGCAGAGAATTTAAAAAAAAACCCAGTCCAGTTACCAGCAGGAGACAGCATCTCTGTTGTGCTCAGTGTTGCAAGAAGCGATAGATTATAGTAAGCGTCTGTTGAATAATACACAGTAGAACACCCTGCCCCTCCAATATACGGGATCAGTATCCACTGATTCACATTGGCTGCCTGAAAATACTAAGTTAAAAAAACCCCAGATACAGTATACATATTTATGTGTATTTTCAGGGCATGTTTACCAAAATGGGCCACTAGAAGGAGCCAGCGACCATGTAATGTTTAGCTTTCGATCCTTCTGTGTTTTTTGTCAACCGCAGGGGTGGGTGTGCTTGGAACAATCAGGTCCCGTTTAGATACGTACTGTGGTTCTACTATATTCAGTCTCCAACAAGTGGCCAGGCAGAAACATCTAGAATTGCACTGCTAGCTTTAGGGTAATAGTATTGTTGGCAGTAGACACAGTCTCATACTTGGAGATATATTACACCTGAGTCAGCAGGTTCCACTTCGGTACTACTGTGTTCCCCCAAAATAAGACAGGGGGTATTGTTGGCAGTAGACACAGTCTCGTACTTGGAGATATATTACTCCTGAGTCAGCAGGTTCCATTGGGGCACTACAGTGTTCCCCCAAAATAAGACAGGGTCTTCTATTAATTTTTGCTCCAAAAAACGCACTAGGGCTTATTTTCAGGGGTTGTTTTATTTTGTTCATGTACCACCATCAACATTGATTCAAATACAATCATGTCATCTTCATCGACATTGATTCAAATACAATCATGTCATCTTTCTGGTTGCTGCACAAGGGTGGAGGGCGGGGTTTCACTTCACTGAGGCTTATTTTGGGGGTAGGGCTTATATATCCTGAAAAATCATACTAGGGCTTACTTTCAGGTTAGGTCTTATTTTTGGAGAAATAGGGTAACAGCTAATAGCCAATATTCAGTAGACAGTATTCGTTACTAACACGTCCAATGCTACTGCTCTCTTCTTTCTTAAATGGCCCACTTTTAGCCAAACCTAAGTGACATAATGACCACTGGAGAAATGGTCAGCCCAACTGTAATGGCAGTTGATGCTTAAAACAATAGGAAAATCACAGTCACAACATGGCCTAGCTTGTCTGGAAATAACATAGGGAATGTTTTTACATGAGCATGTGTGATTAAACATACAGACCAGGCTTTTGAATGGGTTGCTCTACCTAAGCAAGAGGCAAGATTCTACTGCCTATACAAATGTCCTCTTGTGTGGTTCTCCAGATATCAGCCATGGAGTTAAGTTAAAATAGAAAAGGAATTCTACCGCCTGTCCTCCTGTGTGGTTCTCCAGATAGTAGCCATGGAGTTAAGTTAAAATAGAAAAGGTACTTCCAGTTTTGAAACTGAGATCAGTCCATCCCTGTGCAATATGTGTTGCCAAAGTATACTGTAAATAACAAATGAATTCTGCCTGTATTGTTTGTTTTCTGCAGGGACGAGAAGGTGCCCAGATTGAGCCTTGGGAAGACGCCGACTACCTTCTTTACAAAGTTACTGACAGATTTGGTTTCTTGCAGTAAGTGGCACGGATTGACAAGGGAATGACGCAAAAAATTTGCGGCTTGCATTTTTAATTTTCCTTCTGGTACGCCTGTTTGGTCAAAATATTGACTGCTTACTTTTAATAGAATTGCTTTGTGGATAGAATTCCCTTTGGTGAGTATGATTTAAATGGAGCTGCTCAGTGGCAGTGCCCTTCATTAATTTATATTCTCTGCTTTCGTTTCTCAGTGATTTGAACTGATTTGCATATGGTAACAGAAAAACCTTGTCTTTTTGCTGTTCCTGTGGGTAAAGATAACGGTGTGATGCTTTGTGCTGGAAAAATTGGGGGCAACGAGGTGTTCTGAAGAAACTGGAAGAACCCGCATGTAAAAGATAAAAGATTTTCTTCTATAATTTCTCTATTGCCCCCCTTTTCCAATAGAAAAATAGCCTTATTTCTTATTAATATATCATATCCAGCTTTGCATCATCTTGTTGAGTGTTGTGAATAACCTCTTCATTTTTCAAAGACACAGTCACAGATGTATTGATACAGATTCTCAGGGTTTGGAAACCTCACTGAGCAATCCTGGTTATCATCTATACTGAATCCTGGCATATATGTAATATTACAGTGTGATTATATATATTTTGGCTAGTTGCTTAGAGATAAGGCAAGGGGTAAGCTTGCAGCCTGATTTCAGTTTCTAAACCATGGCTAGTAGACTGGGGATATTACATTAGTACCAAGTCAACATACTGTTCTATTATTTGAACGACAGTAGGACCCCTTGTCCATGGTATCAGCACCTGATGATTTACTTATCCACTGCCTGAAAATACAAAATGAAAAACTCCAGAAATACATAGTGTATTTAACAAATTTCCGGGGTGTATTTACCTGAACGGGCCAGTAGAGGGAGCCAGAAACCATGAAATGTGTAGCGTTGGATACTGGACATGGGCGTCCATTCCTGGCCCCCCAGAACCAGCTTAGGGCACTCACTGGGCTCTGTGCAGCATGTGCGTCTGTTAGCGCTGTTGTCATACCAATTTCAGAAGAAGTCCCACTGCTACTTCTCCACCACACTCCCTACAGCCCAACACTCAGCAGCTGAGTGGGGAGACTCTTCCCAACTCCCTGCTAGAGTGGTTAGCTGTGGGGATTGGTGGGGAAGCACCCCCTGGATACAAGTACAAAGCACCCCGATCTATTTGATACTTCCATGTTTTTCAGCATCTACGGGAGGGGAGAGCTTGGAACCCCTGCAGATATCATGCTCTTAGTGCAAAAGTAAACAATTAAAAGCTGTTAGAAGGAAGAGCCAGCTGGCATAATGCTAGTTTATCTCCAGCCATTTTCAGGGAAGACCCATACATGCTGCTGGATCAATCTTGATAAATCATCATATTTTGCTGATGTGTCCCACCATGTTCATCTGGTTCTTGCCGAAATAGATGAATGTGTGTGATCAAAATGCTTTCTACAAGATCCATGGCCACTGTCTTCAAGCAATAAGCCACGATCAAAACTGTGGCTGTGAAACTAATAAATGACAGATTTTCATTTTTCAAGGCAAGGTTCACAGTAGCACAGGTTAGCTCTCTATTTTTAGCTACTAGCAAGTAGTTCAGGTTTTCTGTGTACTCTAGGAAGGGCCATGTTATCTAAAAGAAGGGCTGTCTTGTTAGGTGTTGCAGCTGCGTGGAGAGGACAAGCCTGATAAACAGGAAGACACGTCTTCAGCTGATCAGTTCTGCACTGAAGTTAGTTCTTAGTTACATGAATCACTCCTAGGGTTGCTTCCTGAGTATATGCTCACTGGAAGTGGCCCAAGGTTGCACCTGGGATTCTGTGTGTGTGAAGCACATTCTCTCCGACTCAGCGGTGTCTCCTCCCACTCTGTTTGCATGCATTGCTATCACATTTGGCTCAGTAGTACAGTGTCTGTTATTATTCAGTGTGCTTTTATTAAGATGTTGGCAGCAGGGATCTCCCTTGTTTGTAATTTCAACAAGAGACAAATTGCGAGTGGAGTTTACAGAACATTTTCATAAAGAGAAGGACTTACCCCATGCAAGCCATGCTTCTGTTCAGAAGATATTGTACCCAGCCTTAGGGATTCCAGATTCTTATGTCTTGCACATCCTTTGTAAAAAAATAAAAATTAAAAAAAATAGTACTGTGTAAGCAGAGGTCAATATCTACGAATGTTAACTGTAAAAGCAAAGCGGTAAGGAGTTCACCATATGCTTTTGATCATCAACCTCAATAGCAAGTGAAGAAGAGCTTTTACAAGATCCTTTGAAAACTGGAGAGATGTGTTTTATTCTCCATATGTAAGGGTAAAGGTTCCCCATGACATTTAGTCCAGTCGTGTCCAACTCTAGGGCAGGGTGTTCATCCCTGTAGAGCCAGCGCTTGTCCATAGACAGTTTCTGTGGTCACCTGGCCAGCGCGACTAGGCACGGAAGGCCGCTACCTTCCCACTGAGGTGGTACCTATTTATCTACTCGCATTTAGATGCTTTCAAATGGCTAGGTTGGCAGGAGCTGGGATGAGCGATGGGAGCTCCCTCCGTTGCATGGATTCGATCTTATGACGGCTGGTCTTCTGAGCTTGCAGCACAGAGGCTTCTGTGGTTTAACCCGCAGCGCCACCACGTCCCCTTTGTTCTCCATAGTGGGAGGTATATCTCAAGGTATCCACCAGGAAATGTATATGCATGAGACATAGAAGTGACAGGAGAGGCTCAAGTAACTCATGCTTCCTCCCACACTACTTTAGTAAAAGGAAAGTGCTGCTTATATCCCAGCCCATTGTGCTTAAAGCACTCTTAAGTGCAGTTAACAGTATAATTATCCAGGCTATGCATTGTCTTCCCCCACCGCCATCAATCTGGGTACGTACTCAGTTTAATGACCTCAGATAAACGGGAGGCTGAGTCAACCTCAAACCGGCTACCTCAGCCCATTGGGATCAAACTCCTATCTGCCAGGTGGTTGTCTAAATTCCTCTTGGTTGCCTCTGGTGTTGGAGGACTCGCCACCTCTCAAAGTAATTGGTTCCGCTGTCACACTGCTCTAACAATTAGAAAGTTTTTTGTTTGTTTGTTTTTGATACTCATCCAAAATTTGGCTTCCTGTTTGTTTGTTTGTTTTGATACTCATCCAAAATTTGGCTTCCTGTAACTTGGGTCCATTGTTGTGCGTCCTGGACTTGGGGATGATTGAGTAGAAGATCCTGCATGATATCTGTTAATTTTAATTACACAGTGCCTTGATCTTTGAAACACTGTGCCTTGCCTTGTTGTAATCCTAGCAGCATCCCTATGACATAGGCCATCATGCATTTCTAGTGTGCTGGAAAAGAAGAGTCTGTGTTATGAGTGTGTGTGTATACAGAGGCTTGAGTGCACCGCAGTCTCCATCATCCGTGTCACACTGAACAATTGTTTTATTTCAAGGACGGGCACAGTGCCGTCTACAGAATGCATGTAACCACCGCCAGGGCCTCCAGTGAATTCCTGGCTCCCTATAGAGCAGAATTTGAATAAAGATGCAAAAGCAGCATCTATGGTGTGCTGGTCCTTCTGGCTCAAAGGACTCATTGTCAAAAGACTGGTTGTCTGTTCTACAGTTTTCTCATGTGTATTTGTGTATCGTGTACGCAGTGTGAGAAGCGCGGTTGCAAACGAGAGACGGTCCACGCCTTTTTAAATTGAACTGGCTTTAAACCCACTGTGCAATTTGCATTCAAATGCCGGCTGGGATTCTCAGCTTTGTGCTGACAATTTTTGTTCCGAAGTTTTAGTATCCAATATGTTGTTGTTTGCAGTTGTAAATGCCTCGCCTCTGGAATATTATGCATTATTAAAATTCAATTTTCTAACATTGTTCCGTTTGAATGTGCTCTGCGGGTCTTGTGCAAAGCAAAGGTGTTTATCCTGCCTTTCTCATTTCAGAATTGCAAAAGCAGCATCTATGGTGTGCTGGTCCTTCTGGCTCAAAAGACTCATTGTCAGAAGACTGGTTGTCTGTTCTATAGTTTTCTCATGTGTATTTGTGCATCGTGTACGCAGTTTGAGAAGTGCGGTTGCAAACGAGAGACGGGTCCATGCCTTTTTAAATTGAACTGGCTTTAAACCCACTGTGCAATTTGCATTCAAATGCCGGCTGGGATTCTCAGCTTTGTGCTGACAATTTTTGTTCCGAAGTTTTAGTATCCAATATGTTGTTGTTTGCAGTTGTAAATGCCTCGCCTCTGGAATATTATGCATTATTAAAATTCAATTTTCTAACATTGTTCCGTTTGAATGTGCTCTGCGGGTCTTGTGCAAAGCAAAGGTGTTTATTCTGCCTTTCTCATTTCAGAATGAAGCTGCGAATATAGTGCTAGAGCTGGGGCTGTTGCAGAGGTAGGGCAGGTGTATTGGCCAGAAACAGAAATCCATTCTGCTCCCATAGGTCACTGGTGAAAAATTAAGCCCTAGTTAAGTTAATGCACTAAAATTAAGCAGAGACAAGCCAGGCGCCTTTTGCTATATGGAATATCCTGTTGAATTCTTTTGGCTCAGCCCATTCCATTGCTCAGATTAGTTTGTATTCAAGGTAGCTAACTTTCAGGAAAAGTTGGTGGGGAATAATTCCTCTTGTTTCCATTTCTTTTGAAACTTGTCACCTTTATGGGTTGCATTTCCTCATGGTGTCAGATATAGCTGATGGTTGCCTCTTTAAAATCTATGCGTGGCCAAGAACGATGATACGTGTAAAGGTATAATTTTTATGGACGAATGGTCTGCCGCTTAGCAAAAGGTAGTGGAGATAAGATGTATATTTCTGTCACCTTTTACTATGGATGTTTTTGTATTATCTACTGGTAATGTCCGGATAAACAGCTGGTTTTCCATAGCTATTTCCCAGACAGATTCACTGAATGAGACACTATGAAGGAGTAACCCAGCCTCTATTGCTTTCCAGTAGGATGAATCACTGACTATGTAACTTATTTTTATTTATTTATTTATTTAT